ACTGTATTATTCGTTGAGAATACAAAAGATAGATGTAAGAAACTTTCCTTTTGAAACTTCTAAAACTATAATTCATTTATAGAATGATAGTATATATATATACATATATATATATATATATCGTAAAAGATCGAAATTGGATAATGTCAAGATTAACATGGTTGAAATGTCAACACACACCAAATACGTCGGTGAAAGACCGAATTATTTAGGTTCATTCCTAAACATTAATATTTCGGACATATACCGAATGACCACCATGTGAATCTTGACATTCTCCTCATATATACATATACATATACAATTTCATCTGTTTGTGATTATACCAATTGACAAAAAATAGAGGGTAACGCGTAGTAATAATAAAAGAGAGAGAGAGAGAAAAAAAAATTGTGTTGAAAGATAATTTCGTTCGTAAACGAGGCGAGCAAAACGTATATTTCGAGTGTTATCTGTGTCGGTCTATCGAAAGAAAGGAAGTCGGAGAGTTGGCGGCCCGCCGTGAGCATCGAGCGTGACGAAAAGATAAAAGAATCGCAAAAGGGGGAAGAAAGAAAAAGAAAAAGATTGACAGAAAGAGAGAGAGAAAGAGAGAGAGAGATAGATGAAACTCGCGAACGATTTTCGATACTTCAAAATAAGCCAGGTCCTAATCTTCTACGTTCAATTTTGTTTCTTTTTATTTTTACTTTTGTTTTTTTTTTCTTTTTTTTCTCTCCCTCGATCTAGAACGTCCAATGAAACGAACCCACACACACACAGATATTACAGACATTAGATACAACGTACCATGTAACAGCCTGCAATTAGAACGTAGATAACGAGTCGATTCGATAAAGACTACCCACGATAGTTCGTATTCGTATTTTCCAACCTACATACCTAGAGACGAACACTGACTTTCAGTTCTTATCGATTTTTTTAATATACATATTATTATACATTGGTTTTTGATACATAGGAGATCATTCATACGGATATTAAATCGTTCGACATTTAATATTTTCAATTGTTTTACAATTTTTTTTTTTTCTTTTTTTGTAATAGATAAATCGTCGAAAAACTTTCACCTTTGTCGTTGAATTTTTTAAATGTGCATTTTATATAATCTTTATGTTATTTTTTATTTTCCTTAAAATCATATAGATATAATACAAATTATTATAGTATATCTTTTACGCGTTTTTAATTGTTCTGTCAACGTTATTGTCGGATTTTGTATTGTTTTTTATTATTTGTGCATTTTGCAATCAAAGGGGTTAAAAGTATCGTTTATCTTCAACTAAATGTCACTAACATTTATGCTAATTTAAATTATTATTCATCGAAGAATATTTTTCATAAGAAAAATCATGTTTGAGAAAAATATGATATTTGTTAATTCTTTGATACACTATTATAGATACTTTTTATAATAGAATAATGGTTAATAAATTCAACAAAAGTAATTTTCTCTTTTCAAGAATGATAAAAATGTACTTACTGAATTTTGATTTAAATGATCAATATAGTATTTATTATTCTCCCTTTTACGGTTTTTGAGACTTCAATGACACCTTTATACAATGTTACCAATTATATTAATCGTACCAATTGTTGCTTTACTGATCTAACAGAAACCTTAAGTTTCTTTTAATTTTTCAAACCATGCTAAGACAATTGACAAGAAAACGTCAATAATTCTAATATGTATGTGTTAAATTATTCTAGATTTTTCTTAAATTATATATCTTTTTTTTTTTTTTTTATTTCTAATACTATACCATACCACTATCTTTACAAAATTATTACATAAAGAAACTTAAACAGAGTAGAGAAAATGAAATGTTAGTCCTGGGTAATGATATAATGATACGAGTTAACGCGTTAATAGAAAATTCTTAGTTCGTTATGGGGTTTTACGGTAATAAATAATGATAGAACTCGCCGAACGTGCCAAAGTATCTTCGCTAAGGGGAAAAAAAAGAAAATTATGGAGAAGTGTGTGTGTGTGTGTGTGTGTGTGTGTGTGTGTGTGTGTGTGGTGGCCGGTCGATGAACCGGCTTAGAATTTCTCCTTCCCCCTTAACCCCAACCAACCCCCTCTCCCTCTCCCACCCTCCTTTTCCCGATTCGCGGTTCGTTCTGTTGAATGCTGCGAACCTACGTGGACAATGGCCCTCTAATGACGCATACTTTGACACGGTGCGTTAAAAGAGATGCGCAGTTCTTGGTGTCATTTGTTAGGAGGAGGTTTCTGTTGCCCTACCCCACCCCCCTTTCCACCCCTTTTCACCCTTTCAAGAATGACGGTACGTGGACGACAATATCGTCATTTTTCATTGGTTATCCTAATACGACCCGTTTGTTGTGTGTTTCCTCGAAGAAAATAATTGTACAGAAAAAGAGAGAGCTTCGATTATTTATCATCTATCGGGACTTTTCAACTATACACGCCTGCCGCTTTGCCATTAACATAAGACTTTTCTAATAAAAAACAAAAAGAAGGAAAAGAAAAAACGCGACATTGCGTATGCATTTGTATATGAGTTTTGATCAACCGGTTTTGTATCATCGATTTTACGTACACTCACGTTCGATCATTTCTATAAAAAAAAAATAAAAAATAAATAAAAAAGAAAGAAAGAAACTCGATAATTATTTTTGCGTTTACAACTTGAAGAGATGAAAATTAATCGTTTTTATATCAACCAATGACAATTCGATGTTATTACGAAATTTGTATTAATATGTCTCGATGAAAAAAAAAATCTGTAGAAAATAAAAAGAAAAAAAAGAAAGAATTATATAATATTTTGAAATACGAAATAGTATGAGACGTTAGACGAAACATATTATATTATTTATTCTATATAATATAATATATAAAAATAATATATATTATATTATATATTTATATTAACAATAGGATTTATACGTTACGCAAAAAAAGAAAAGTGAATTCATCAACGACATAATATAATCCTTTTAATTGGATTTTGTAGGATTACCTTGTTTTTTTTTTCTTTTTTTTACTGATAAAGAATCTCGAAAGAATGTGTCGAGAAAGTGAGAGGAATCTGTATGTTTCAATTAAACTGCCACCTTCTAGAGGAGTAAGTAATAATCACGAATCACGTATATATTTACTTAAATAATACATATACTATATACAGATAGAAAGAAACGCACGGTACACTTGGCTTACTTACTTCCTCGTACTGTTGTAGGAGAGCTTTATGTAATAGGAACAACGTTCGTTGCTGTTGTTGTTTGTTGTTTTTGCTGTTGCTCCGACGATGATGCTTTCACCCATGCTCGAATTTAAGTACGAAAGAATCGAATCGAACGGGAGCACAGAAAACGGCCGGTGCATTGGCCGAGAGAGAATCGAGTTCTCGCTTTCTAGAAGATTGTGTTTAGATCATCATATTGCAAGGGAAAGAAATCACTAGTTGAAAGGAGAATCCAACCTCGTGATATTATTCACGGTTCATCGACTTCAAGAATGTCGTATACGATATCTCAATAATCGAATTGAACTCGCTTGTAAACTTACACATTGCGTACTAGTTTATGCGTATGTAGTTGGGTGTCTCAAGAATCGGTTTATTACAATAATAAATATATAATAAAAAATCGATATAAACATCTGTCGGCAATATGGTTCTTTTAGGATCGGTGTCACGTTTTAATATAACTATGTTTATTTTTAAATTAAAGTTTTATATAATAACTGTAACTGTTAGACAATATTCTCTAGAAACCCTTAAAAAGAATATTTTTTTAAATAACAATACTCACCTATTCTCGTGTTATTAGTTTTGAATTTATCATGAAAACTTTCTTTTTCCATCTGAAATGAAACGCGAACTGATATGTAATAATAATAATGACTTTAATAATTCTCACCACCGTACAACTATATAAAATATAAAGACATCAATGATCTTCTGCCAACTTGGTGGTTCTCCCTTTGTAATAAAAATGTTTAATTTGTAAATCTAATAAAGTGACTCTTGGGACATCCTGTATATATATATGAGTGTATGTTTATATACATATACACGCCTGCCAGATACAACATCGAGTTTCTTTGTTGACATCTCCGTTAGACTAGTCTCATTCGATAATCAAACGTTGTTAATCTACGCAGAGTTACAAGATGGTGTAAATAACTGACGGTTAAGTTTCTTAGATGTTTACACGTATTATTAACTTTGACGATCGATCATTTTTACATTACATCGTTCTATCTTACACAACTTTGCGGCTAGACACATCTAACAGCGATAATTCCTTAATCTCTCGTAATTCTATCGAAGAAAGGGAAGAGTTACGAACACGATGGTTGACGTAAATACCTAACTTAGACACCTTTCTACGATGGGTAAGATTATTGCATAGGATCGGTTGCATTTTAAGAAAACTTTAAAGATAAGTATTCGTCTTTTAAATATAAGTGAAAGCGAACCAACTGTTTACCCGGACTTCCTCGTCGGGCACGCTATGATATTGTCATAATTCTACCATGAATAAAATAATAATACCAAAATAATGTTCGTTATTAATATTTCTTTTTTCAATTTATATTTAATGTCAATTCGAAATGAACAAAATAATCCTGCCTTTTTACTCTCCGTTTTATTCAATACCTCATAATCCAACGTTAACTAATAAAAAAAATATGATTTTCTTTTTTTTAAACATATATATGAAATGTCAACGCATACCAAATACGTTGATGAAAGACCCAATATTTGAATTTGTTCTGATATATTAATATTTCGGACACACACCAAGCGACCACCATGTGAATCTTGACATTCTTCAATTTCGGTCTTCCACGATAACACATATTTATATTAAAAAAAAATATAATGGAAACTTATTTAACTACAAATCATTTTAAATAAATTCTAATTTGTTAATTCCCCCATTAATATTGAAATATTGAATCGTATCTGATACTAAAATAATTGAATTCTAATCGTTCGTTTTCTTTGTCTACCATTTTGCAGGGGCAAATACGCAACGGTGAGAAGATGCCGAGAGAGATCGAGTGGTAGGCAATGGGCCGCAAAGTTTCTAAGGAAAAGACGACGTGCTCAGGAATTGAGGGCGGAGGCACTTCATGAGGTCGCGGTGCTGGATGCCGCTGCTCACTGTTCTCGTCTCGTTTCCCTCCACCAGGTCTTCGAGACCAATACCGAGATGGTTCTCGTCTTGGAATTGTAAGTTTCTTCTTAGTGTGTTTTCACATACTGGACTCCTCACCTCTAACTGTACTTCTTCTCTCTATGAAACCTCGTCGTGCGGTTATTTCTTTTTGTCTTCTTATTTTATTTCTCTATATTTCTTTGATAATACTTCTATACATTATAAACTGGCTCGTACGCGGGTCTCTCTTACATTATTACATTGTGCAAGAATAATTTCTAACGCAATCATAATATAGTTAGATATATATTTGATATTACATAACGAACGTTACCAATTTATGATACCTTTGTATAATGATGTAATATGAATATTTCGTAGTATTAGCTTTCTAAATGGCACGTGCACGATTCGCGTACGAAATTCGTATCGTTATCCGTTCCATTGATCGATTTTTTATTTATAAACTTTTTCATCAAATTCGTTATTCTATTGGATATTTTGTTATTGTTGTTATTATTATTATTATTTTTACCATTGTCAAAATGAATTATTTTAAATTGTTGATCGCTTTATTTTTTGTTTTGTATCGTTCGAATTTTTATAGAGCACCTGGAGGCGAATTGCAAATGATATTGGATAGAGATGAAGTACCAGAAGAACGACAAGTGGCGAGATTATTGAAACAGATTTTAGACGGTATTGCCTTCTTGCATTCTCTCAACGTAGCACACTTAGATATCAAGGTATGTACCTTTGGAAAATATAAATATATATATTATACATTATAAAATTGTTCGAATTCTTAAACGTATCGAATTGTGATAATTATGTTTGTTCGAAAGATAAATCGTACAATATGATTTAGTTTATATTTACATTAAACCATTATATTGCGTAAACGCGATTAACAACGTGTCTAGGGGATTTTCTTCGAAAGTAATTTCTAATGAAATAAAATTAAAAAAAATAATAAAACGCGATAATAACAGACAGAAATAGAGAGAGAGAGAGAGGGGGGGGKAGATAGGGGAGTTTATAAGAAAGAAAAAAAAAGGAAGATAAACATTTTTCGAGTATAATATCTCGAACGTGGTGACTGAAGTGATGAGGAAGGGGGGAAGGAGGGAGGGAGGTAAGGAAAGAAGAGGGGATAGAAAATTTAGCGCACCTCGTTCCGTACGAAGCTTATCTTTATCTTAGCGTTCCGTTAAAAATAAACATGGCACGACGATAACGGTGTAAAGGAGGCAACTACGACGACAATCTTCTTACGGTTGGTGCAAATAAAACGTTATCTCGCGATATTCCCGAGTCGCGAGGTTTGTCTGATTGTGAAAGGACAAAAACTTGCGTTAAAGTTGGTGATGGTATTTGACGGAATACTGCAAGGAATGCGAGTATATGCATTTGGTGGTCATGGTGTACTACAATGTCCTTTATTATAATATATCGTTTGCCTCGAGAATCGCGATTAAAGAAAAAGAAAAAGACAAAAAGAAAAGGAAGAGAAAAGAGATTCTTTGGCACGAGGGAGGGAATCAAATTACTATAGTCTTTCCTAAGAGAGTTAACAACGTGTGCGTTCAGTCTACCTGTTCCGCATGTTGGACTCCGATACGAACGACCTACATAGATCGTCGTTATGTAAACACCTTCTTCTTTGCCAAAAGTCAATGCGTTCGCGCGATGCATTCTATGATACTACCGGCTGGCTATTCGCTTAAAGATTATATAAACCACCCACACATACATATACATATCTATGTATATATATGTATTGAGAATCTTATGGGAATTTGCTTTACCTCTCAATGCTCTCTTATTATTAAGCTTTCACGGAAATTAATTTCTATTCGCGTAGCTTTAAATTGCTTTATGCAATTATATATATATATATTATATATAATATACTTACGGTGACCATTATTTCTAGATAAAAAATATAATACGAACGATTAAATTATTTCATTGTATTGCGATACTACGTATCCTGCTTTTCTGTTATGTAACTTTTCCAATATCTAATACGAAGATTTATTTTAATAGTCGACAACATTAAAAATACTATTTTACAAGGGGAGGGGGGGGGGAAGAAAAGAAAATATTTATACCAATTTTATTAAATTCATGTTTTATAATTTTTCAAATACTGCGTACCTTTTTTTTAAAAAATCAAATTTGGATTTTTAAGTGTTCCTTCATTTCTATAAATAATTCACGTTGTAATTATATTTCGTAATTGAAAATAATTTCGTTGTTTCGATCTTCAGTTGCTGCCAAAAATGTTATTTGACACAAAAAAAAAGAATACTCTTTTTACAGGTGCGTTAGAAGTTAAAAGGCACGTTGTATTTTATTTTAAATCTAATTTTCATTCAATTTAAAATACAGTAATTTGTATTCTTTTTTTTCTAAATAATTATACAGCGCCTTAAAAATAAAATATACGAATGATCGTCGTAACCGTCCCATACGACACGACTGGTTTGCTTGACAATTTGAAAAAAAAAAAAAAAGATTATCTTGAAAAATTGACGAAGGAGACATTCGAACAAATCTGTCCTTTCTCGTACGGACGAGACACGACGGTCTTTCTTAAAAAAGATCAACGAATGTATATATTTACGAACAACGATAGTGCGAACACGTGCCGACAGAAAGGGAAGGGGTAGGGGAAAGGGGAATTTGTAAATTCAGAGACTCGTGTTGGTTAAGGAATTCTCGACAAGATACTCGTCTCTATGGGGTGTTTCTGAGCAGAAAATATTTTTGTAACCAACGTCGAGGGAGTCGTCTCTCTACCATCTCTAAAGAATTTTTCTTTTTTACAAAAATAAAATCCCTTTCTTTCTTACTATATATATAAACGTATGTATGTGTGTGCTTATTTATACAATTTTGTTTAATCGATAAAATTCTAAAAAAAATATCTTATCACACGATTTGTGTTTGTATTCCAATGCAATGTAGGCGCGAGTCTAGGTATATTTTCTATTATTAGAAAACATCTCCACTCTCACCGCGATTTATATTTCGACTTGTCAATAATAAGTCGTCTTATACTATCATTTATCATCATCATTGATCCGTGGCCTTGTCGGTGAAATTCCCGGTTGAACGAGTCGGCAATTATACGCTCGCGAACGTGAATTCTCGACAATAAATATAATATATAGAAAAACTTTCGACGGGTGTGTAAAATTGAGCCGCGTGCGCCGTGTCCTATTTGAAAGAAATAATACCCAAAAAGAAGAAAAAAAAATATATATATATATAAAGAAATAAAGAAAGAAAATATCGATCGGAAGACAACCGTCACTGTTTGCAAGGATTAAATGGATTACTCGATTATATTCGAATCGAGGAGAACGACGAAACATGAAAGTTCTTTTTTTATCGATAAGAAAAAAGGTTTGGTCATTTAATTTCTAATATTTGCAATAAATAAAAACGAATAAAAAAAATATATATATATATTTAATATATATTACTTTAAAAGGTGGCACGCGCGTGCTATTTTGAAGAAACCATTTCGTATTTCGAAATAAGATTATAAGAAGAGAAATAAAAATAAGAAAAAGTAAAAGAGAGAGAGAGAGAGAGAAAGACGATTTCTAATAGGAGATTTGCATGAAATTAGCAAATCTTTCGCGTAGGTATTAAGCTTATACGTAAATACGTATGTATGTTAGTATTTATCGATTATCGAAGTGATCGATATGGGTGAACCAAGGCGAACAAGTATTAATAAAATATTCTGTTCACAAGATGAAGAATAAGAAGTACAAGATATATCATCATACATACATCTCTCGCACATTTACTTATTTTAATTTTCCTCTTTGGTTTCTTCTTCTTCTTCTTCTTCTTTTTCTTCTTTTTCTTCAACTTCTATTTCTTCATTTTCTTCCTTCTCTACTACACTCCTCCAACATTTCTAGTCGACAACACGACGGAAAGATTACCACCACCATCAGTTCGTGGTTATGCAACGACCTATCGTGCATTCTCGTCTTTTGTGAAAATCGTGCGAATAATTTGCCGAGACAGCGTTACCGAGGCAAATCGGAAGATGCTACCAGAATATGACGTATCTCGAATAGGGTTGCCAACAATATCATTCCCCCCCCCCTCCTACTCCACCCCGCTGATGACACTTATTCCGTGTCTCCAATTTTTTACTAATAATTTATTCAAGAACGAGGAATGTAATAATAAATATAATATTACTCTTTCGTTTATATATATATAAACAGAAAGAAAAAGGAAAACATTTTACATTGATTATTTTACAACATTTATCTTTTTTTTAATTAATACGCAACTTAAATATATTTTATACATACAAGAAATGAAAATAGTTAAATTATTATTTCGTCGAATAAAATAATAATTTATCTTTACTTGGATATATATTTTATGCTAATCCTTCAAACGGGTATTCAAATGTTGTTAACCCTAATCTCGAAAGGAAAGTGTGTGTATACGTGTATACTGAGGTATAATGTCAGAAAGAAAGAAAGAGAAAAAAGAAAAATAAAAAGATCGGTACGTGATGAAATGTTTTAATAAAATAGACTTAAGAAAATAAGGTTAAGAAAATGTTTGTCGCGGTCATTTACATAAAACTCCAAAAGATACGTAAGAAGTTATTATTTGAATATACTTTCCATATACGATATTTCATCTTTCATAACGATATCATCGTAATATTAAAAGTCATGCCGTACTTTATGTTTCATCATAATTATTTTTCAACCTCGTAAAAATTTGTACACGCGAGTGGGAAAGAGAGAAAGAAAATCTCTTTGTAATGAACAAAAGCAAAACAACGACGTAATCCTCCGTATACCGGTTCGCAACGACCTTTGTCATACTTTATCAGCTATTCAACGAATGTTCGATAAGGAACGGTGCGAGTTTATCTCGATGCGATAAGATAACGCTTGTTACTTTGAGATATGTGAATAATCTCGATGCACGGGTAAAGAAGAGAACGCAAGCAATTTCGCGAGAAAGATGCCGTCGTCGTCGCGTTCGCAATCTTTCAAAGGTGCCTATTTTATTTTACCTCCATCGGTATATGAAGTCTTCTTCAATATTTTAACATTATATGCAACACGAAAGATTCATTTATCGAATGGATAAAAAAAGAAAATATTATAAGATGACAAAATATTCGTAAAGAGATTAAACATAGACGCGTATTATTAATCGACAAAAAAAAAAATATATATATATATAAAAACTTATAGTTTACAGCAATGTATATATATATATATACGTATACGCATACATACTTGCATATATACTTATAACGCAGGTGCGATGTCGTTCCATTAGCGTATTCTATAAATAAGCAATCCCTCGTACTCGATGATGCGGCTTTAAGCATCGAGTAAAATATTATTCCTTACATGAGAAGGCACTTACAATGTTTTGGATAAACTCGTGAAGTCTAGACGACGACCGGCTTTTACGTGGATCAGGATATCGTGGTTGATTCGCAGGTGAGATACTCTATCTCCTTCTTTCTATCCTTTTATTTTTCTTTACAATGTGACAAAGAGATAGAAAGAGAAAGAGAGAAATATATTACCTATCCCACGATTAATCCTTTTTATTATCTTTCTCTTTTTTCTTTTTTCTCGTTCGCAATCCTCATACGTGAGTCTCTTCTTCTTCTTCTTTTTCTTCTTCTTCTGATAAAATTTGAGAAATCGTAAATCCTTTAAGACATCTC